ATTGGTTTAAATGTATTATTGCAGAGTAAAATTAATTAGATAAATATGGGTTCAGAATGTTTCCAACAGTAGTACCTACTATTTCCAACAGTCAGATCAATAAACAATGACATCATGAACAAATGTTAACTGATCTTGCATTTTATGCGGGCGGTACAATATCCTACACAGTTCAATGTGAAAACAAAGCCAACCCACATCAAAAAACGTTTCTTGTTCACCGATACATCACTAATTACAATTATAGGGCAATTGATTCCTTCACAAATTGGAAGCTATAAAACTTTGTGTCGGCGAATTAATTTGATAATTACTAGCTCGCAATATGGTACATTTTCGTTCACAACGAACTAATGAGCTTGATTTTTCAATTAAAAATAACGTTATTGTGAGAGGAAATTAGGACAATTACTTGTACGCGAGGGGCAGTAATGCGGCGCGAGCTGCATCAATTTTATGGCCCATGGATGGTGAAATGTGTAATGTTTTCACCTACATTACCGCATTATTGGATCTAGTAAAGACGTGGACTAGAGAATCTTAACGACAATACAAATAAATTATCTAGTATCTCTTGCATTATTTTTGTTGGTTATTATAACAAATTACCTGATAACTAGCTGTTACGATCAGGATTTTTTGTAAGTATGTGAAAAAACCTCCCCTTTCTCTTAAAAACAAGATAAGATCATAAGCTTTCTTTAATTTCAGAGCTACGTTTTATCCAACACACAGGATACGAATTTTGAATTTTTGTAATAAATTTCAATATTTCTACAGAAGATTGTAAAATGTATAACCCGATGGCACAGAAATAACACTGTCGTGGACCTTTCACACGCGTATTTACACTTCTTTTAGCATTGCTAATCGAATTGACGGGCATTGGCTTAAGAATTAGCACATTTCTATCCATACAAACATGTAAATAAACTAACATAGCTAACTCCACAGTATACTTATGGTCGATAATGGGAAATCTAGTAGGATGCTTTATTTAATAGCGTTTTGGCAAGATTTGTTGAAATAGATATAGAAATAATTTTATGATTCCGTTGTCCACTGGCTTTTAACTGTCTTTTAATTTTATAACACTTGACTTTTTTTACGACAGTTCTGTTCTTTAGGTTTTCGAACTGGCCGCGTAGACATCAGTAGATTAATTTGTACATATTATCCACTTACGGTTTTCACACACTTCAATGGAACAATTGTTCGACGTTAAAATATTCTTTTTATTTCGTTTTTCAGATGTGAGCAGTACTTGACAGACACAAAATGACTCGGGACAGTTACGAGATGGACTCCAATCGAATATCACGTGGTGGCTCGCTATTCGGCACTGATCCTCAAATACAGCTTAGAAAGGCTCTACGGAATAACGAGTACGCAACATTCAAGAAGCTCGTCAGTTATGGTGCCGTGGATCTTGAATATACATATCCATATCCAGATTACAAGACATGTCTCGAACTAGCTGTTTCAGAACCGGATAGACAAGAATTTATCAAGCTCTTACTACAGCACGAGGTGCAAGTAAACAAAGTTAACGATAAAGACGGTAAAGCTCCTATTCACCTGGCCGTCGAAAATGGAAATCTCGATGCCCTCAGCATATTACTAGAGGATGATAGAATCGATGTTAATATAAAATGTAAGGGCAATACAGCATTACTTATGGCTGTAAAAGGAATTCAAGATCTAGATGACAATAGGGAAGAAAGCATGTCAAAATATGAAGATATGATAGAATTGTTACTAAAAGCTGGATGTAACGTGAACTCGCCAGATAATAAAGGAATAACACCTATTTATTCCGCCGCAAAACAAGGCCTCGAAAGAATAATCAATTTGATCCTAGATTATGCTAAGGACCCCATTGATTTAGATACATATAAGGACATAAGAGGTCGAACTGCGCGTTATTATTTAAACGATGCTTTTCCTCATCTTCTAGCAAAATTTGAAACAATATCTAAGCAAGAAGAAATAATTGATCCGGACAAGCTATTCTCTTATTTAAGTAGACATGAAGAAGACAACTTTATTCGTGACTATACAAAACTAGTTAAGAAAAATGAACATCGTCCAGCTTTGGCTGCCAATAACGGTATGAATACAATGCTCCAATTAAGTACAGAAAAGGGTTTTGAAAAAGTTGTTGGAGTCCTGTTAAATTCCGGAGCTGATCCTAATGCAACATGCTCTGCTAATACTGTTAAGCCGATTGCTATAGCTTGTCAAAATGGGTACTACAAAATTTTAAAAATGTTTATTGATAATGAATCGACACTTTTTGATCCAGTCAACAATGAATCACTCTTGCAAATAACAATAAGAGGAATGAAAACAAGCCTGTTAGATTCAAAAGTGGATTTCAAAAGTTGTATTGATCTGTTATTGAGAAATCCAAAAATCAACATAAATATAAATTATCCCGATATTAAAAATAATACAGCTTTGCATTACGCGGCAAGAAACGGTGACAGTGATACGGTATTAGAATTACTAAGAAGTGGAGCTTGTGTTGGACTTCGCAACAAATTTGACGAGCCACCCTTGGCAGATATCAACGCTAAAACACTTGAAACTTACTTGGATGAATGTATATCGAGTAATAGTGAACGACCTAGCGATGACGATTATGAAATTCACATAAAATATAGTTTCTTGGTATATCCAAATAACTCTTTGGAAAATGAAATGTGTAAGGTACCTCTGATGGATAATACAAATAACAATATTAAGGAATATGATGCTATTTTAGCTCCTGAAACCGAAGCACTTTTGTATATGACCAAAAGTGAAGAATTGCGTCCATTATTAAAACATCCAGTTATAACGAGTTTCTTATATTTAAAATGGCAACGAATTAGCTGTTTATTTTATGCTAACATAACATTTTATTCTTTGTTATGGTTATCTTTAATTTTATATATAATATTGGGCTATGGTGTTGAAAAGGAACAATCAAAATCCTTCGAAGCTTTAAACGTTGTAACTCATATTGGCGCTGTAATTGGGTTAATACTCTTAATATTTCGAGAACTATTTCAATTACTCGTATCACCAACAAGATACTTGCAAAGTATAGAAAACTGGATGGAAATTGTTTTAATATTTGTAACTGCTTGGATAGTCGGTTACGATTCCGCCTCAGAATCTACTAAACAGCAATTATCAGCGGTAGCTATTCTCTTGTCTTCAGCGGAATTAGTTTTATTAATTGGCCAATTTCCCACTTTATCAACGAATATTGTTATGCTGAAAACTGTTTCTTGGAACTTTTTTAAATTCCTACTTTGGTATTGTATTTTAATTATTGCATTTGCATTAAGCTTTTATACTCTGTTTCGTAATGTTGCGGAAAGCGATGACCAGACACCACCGAATCCTAATAACACAGGTAAAGAACTTGAAGATGACGAAGAGGATTTCTTTGAAGATCCAGGGAGATCACTTTTTAAAACAATTGTTATGTTAACAGGAGAGTTCGATGCCGGATCGATTAAATTTAGTACATTCCCAGTGACAAGTCATATAATATTTATAGTATTCGTTTTTATGATTCCCATTGTCTTATTTAACTTGCTTAATGGTTTAGCTGTCAGTGACACACAAGAGATCAGAGCTGATGCTGAACTTGTCGGACATATATCACGAGTAAAATTAATTTCATATTTTGAAAGTGTTCTCATCGGCAAGGCATATTCAAAACCTTCAAAATTCTGGTCATGGTTGCCACCGTATCTACAAGAGTTGCAAGTAATAACACCAAAAACATTATGCATGAAACCATTTGCAAAACGCATTAGCTTATTTCCATTCTTTTTGCCTAAATACCGTATAATTGTTAAACCCAATCAGGATAATACTATTATTATACCACATGCAGAACCTCTAGGTAAATATGGTGATGATTATGAAGATATAGAAGGAGGTAAATGTTGCTTTGAGCGTTGTCAGAACTATAGATTAGAAAGAAAGATTGTTAAGAATGCTAAATTAGTTATAAGCAAAAAGACATATGTATCGGAATTCTATGAAATTAAAAACAAGTTATCGTTATATGAGACAAAAATTGAACACATTGAAAATATTCTGAAAAAGGTTCTGCAGGCTCTTGATAATCAACGTAATTACTAAGTTTATGTTATGTTAACTAACTAATGTGATGTTTTAAATAATTTATATTGTAAACAAAAGCTTAAGGTATTCCATTTAATTGCCTTCCATTAGTAATACGCCTAATATATTATGTATTTACCGTTTACATGTTTTTTTTTAGTAATATAAATTGAAATACAACTTTTGTTTTATTTATTTTCATGTTACCTGTAGACATATTGTTAGGAATTAGGTATAAGTATAAAAAAAACATTCATAATTATTTCTGAACTTTTTTTTCGTATATTTTTTCGCAAAACGACTTTCAGTTTTTAACTTGCATTTATGTAAATAGCGTCTTTAAAACATGAGAACATTATTCTTATTCTCGACCTATTTTAGTGATTTGTATTTTTTTATACTAATTCATATTTTGCACTTGTGGTCTCAATTATCAAAGAAAGAATGTTGTCAAAATGGTTTTATGACCGTTTTTATTATTCTATTAATATATTGTTTTGCACAATAAATGATTGGAAGCCTAAAAAATCCATTTGTTAGATAGATGCAATATTCTTCATACTGTATTGCAAAAACTAACCGAAAGGAAAGTTAAAATTACGAAACGCGGGATTGGGAAGCGGAAACCAATGCTAAGAGAATTGCCAGTACACAAATTAGTTAACCATAGAGAGAGAAAATTTGTGCATATCGAAAAAAAGAAAAGTGAACAAATATATATGACGAAAATAAATAAATACCTCTTCATCTCCATACCATACCTGAAACATTCAATTTTTTTTTGGTGTTTTGATCATATTTTTGTGGTTGCAAGTTACAAGCCAGGTGAATGTTTTGTAATCTTTGTGATACTTTTAAATTGTCAATTTTTCTGTAACTGTCAAATCAACACAAAATTTTAATCTTAAGTTTATTTCAAGTTCTAATGAATTAATACTAAAGACAATAAATGTTTCAAAACTGGATTTTGCCTAAGGATAAAATGCAAAGCACCATAAAGGAGGTGCTGGACGCTTTAGGGTAATTCTTCGAATCGGATAATTGAAGTTAATAACAAGAAAATGCTAGTTTTAATTGACTGTTATTAACCAATTGCAGATGTAGTTTAGAAGCAGATACTGTTTGGGACTACATTCAGAATGATCCCAATTACGGGAATAGTAATCTTTCTACGAAGCAAGTCAATGAATACGCTCAGAGATTAGCGCTAAAAGCATCTAACGCGAAGACATTTCTAAAGAAATACGATGACCTAAGGAGCCGCAAGTAAGACTTTTCAGGCTTACTAATAAATTTGTTGTAAAGGATGTAAGATTTTCTATATATCTGAATATATCACTTTACATAACAGCTTATTTACATAATGGTTTAACAACAACTTTCATTAATATATTTCCAGCACTGATAATTTGTCAGATATCATAGTTTCATTTTATAAATTGGTATGTGATGAAAAAAGATCCCGTGTTACTAAGCCAAAAGTTTCTCCAAAACCTATATTAGGAGATAATAAGCACCAAATAACTAAAGAAGATCTGCCACAGGTAAATTTTATATATAAACTAGCGGACTCGATAGACGTTGTCCTGTCTGCACGTCTTTAATTTGAATAAATTAATATGAAGTTAATATTTCATGAAAATTGTGAATCTAAACCATTCCCAGATCCCCTTGAACACACACAAAAATTCATCAAAATCGGTCCAGTCGTTTGAGAGAAGTTCAGTGACATACACACTCACAGAAGAATTATATATATAAAGATTAGTGAACAATAAAAAATAATCTAGAATCTAAATGATGTTCTATTTAAACAATTTTTTTTGAGATTTCTGTTTTGTTATTTACTTTTAACAATTTATTTTTAGATTAAAGATAAACTTCTTAAAGCTGTGGATGAAAGTAAAAAATTAGTCATGAAATCATTTGAGGAACAAGAATCGAAACTCCGTCCGAATTGGTACAACAGCTTAGATCTGCCTAATTGGCAAAAGGATAATCCTGCTATGTCATGGGATTTCCCTAAAGAACCTGCACCAATCATAGCATCATTAGGTAAGTCACAACTAAATTAAAATTTCATAAGATTTCCATCATGGTAACATAGAACTTTGACCTGTGATAAAAAATGTATTTAACACAATGTATGTAATAATTGTCATTCATGAGTTAATATTATTTCTTTATTGTTTTAATAAAGTGGAGTTTAAAACATTAAAAAGTATGTGACCACAACTTTTTTCTTGGACAAATATTCCAAATTACTGCACTCTCACAAAAAAAATCTCACATTATGGTCAATTCGTATCTATATTTATTCTTCTACTTATATTACAGCGGGCATACCAGTAGCTTCACAAGAAAATATTATCATAGATGAACTCCTTTATGTTTTCTCCGGTGTGCCTGGTAACTATATTGTACATCAGCCAGTCAGAGATGCGTTAGAACCTAGATCATTTCTCATATCTGATGATTTGGATGATGCATTGAAACAGATTGTACAACAAATGCTACCTCTAGCATCTAACTATTCTATAGTAAGAAGGTTTATTGAGCAATGCAATATGTGGTCGGGACAAGTTCTACATGCATTAGTTGCTGCTATTGAAATTTTACTGAAGGATTATTATGTAAGTAAAAATACTATGAATTGCTCTCGGCAAGAATACAGTGAAGGAGCACGTCGTAATGCAACCTGCACATATCTGAGAAGAAATTCAAAGATATGTGTGAGGTCAACCAACCGCCACTAGGCCAGCGTGGTTGACTATGGCCTAATCACCCTTAACTTAGGGTAGGCTCCGAGCCCCTCCGTGGGGAGGTATAGTGAGCTGATTATAATGAAGAATATTGCTAAAATTTGGTTATTTGGCACTACTTCATATTTTACTCGATATGGAAAAAATAACCAATTTTTTATTTTGGATAAGACTTTATTCAAATTTTTTTATATAATTAATAAGATCATCATCAAGAATTTCATAGTTTTTTTTTTTGTAAATATAATGTTAATCTTTGCTACAGACAATGATAGCACAATTGGAGACCGAGCACATGGCTGGGAACTTGTCATTACAAAAGCTATGGTACTATGTTCTACCAACAATGCACACCATGCAAGTATTGGCAGCTATCCTCACTAATATCGGAAAGGTAATTTAACAATTTAAACACTTTTGATAATGGTTTAATTATATTGATTTACATATTTCTTATCTGTTCCTAAAAAAATATCAAACTTAAGAGTGTAATATTGGAAGGGATTAATTTTCAACATTTTTTATCCATACTAGTTTAAACTTGTATTATAATCTAATTCTAAAGTCTAATCTCACTTCTTACTATTATTATAAATATGAATGTTTTGATGGATGGATGGATGTTTCTTAGAAGGTATCTCCAGAACAGCTGCATAGATTTAGATGAAATTTAGTAGATGTAGAATACAGTATTGAAGTACACATTTACTAAATTACTCTTCAACACATGTTATTGAAATTTGTCACAAATATAGAACATAATCTCAAGTAACATGAGATACTTTTCACACTTTTTTTTAAATTCTATGCTTACAAAGTTACAGGCAAAAGCTAATATTAAATGTTTGTGTAATAATTTTTTTTTTACTATATTTAGAGCGAGTTCCGTGGCGGCGCGGTGTTGACAGTTCTTCATGATAAAACAAACACATTAATGGGCGATGCCAGAGCTCAGGAGATATCCTTGTTCCTGACAGAGCGTTCCTGCAGACCTTACCTCAGGATATTGGATCAATGGATACACAAGGGCACTATTGTGGATCCATTTCAGGTATTATACATTTGCTACCTGTTATAGTTTTTTTCTTCCAAGTTGTAAATTTGTAGTCTTAAAAAAATGTCAATTCAGCTTGCAGTAAGTTAATATTTTATAATTATGGAATTAATTCATAATATAATATTAATGTTATCTTAAAATAACATAAATATTGTCTGATTTATACTTATTTTCTGTATTTTACAATTAAAATAAAATGAACAAGAACTTAAAGGCAAATTATAATATTTGGTACTAAAAAATTTGTTTTATTGTGATCACTAATTATTACGTATAAAGTTATTATTATAGTCCTATTTAATGAATTGTAATGTAATTTGTTATAGGAATTTATGATAGAAGATAATGAGCTGGTAAATAAAGAAGAATTGCCTGTAGATTACTCTGCGGACTACTGGGAGAAGAGATACAGCGTACAGAGGGAGAGGGTGCCAAAGTTTCTGGAAAAATACACTGATATCATACTGAGGACAGGAAAATATTTAAATGTTATCAGTCAGTGTGGTATGTTAATCTTACTCATATTATTAATGCGAAAGTCTGGATGTACGGATGGATGTTTGTTAGAAGGTATCTCCAGAACGGCTGCAAGGATTTTCTTAAAATTTGGCATAGACGTAGAACATAGTCTGGAGGAACACATAGGTTTACTTAGTTTATTTTTCAATTTCGCGCGGACGAAGCCGCGGGCGACAGCAAGTAATAATACTAGTTGAATTTAAGCAAAATATTGTCAAAGCAAGGAAAAAGTTTCAGTATTTTTTTTTACATTTTTACCTTCTTAGGTTTTATAAAAGTACTAGTAGTGTTTAAGAATGGAAAATTATCAATTAATATTATACATAATACATCAAATTAACAAAATGATTTAGTCATAACCAAAATCTGAAATTACCAATACCAAGCTAAACTTTCTATCTACAGGTAAATCCATAGCAAAAACGAACACAGAAGACATAAAATACTCATTACGTGAACAAAACTACAGCGCCATTATACAGAAAGCGTACGCATTCGCGAGTAAGTCGTTGTTAGAATTACTGCTAAAGGAGTACGATCTGATGGGAAGACTGAAGTCCGCTAAGAACTACTTCTTGATGAGTCAGGGCGACTTCATTGTACAGTTCATGGATGCCACAGAGCAGGAACTATCCAAAAAAATTGATGACATCATACCATCCAAATTAGAATCTCTATTGGGATTGTGTTTAAGGTCAGTACATGCTTGAATAAAATCCATGTAAAGTTTAACCCGGATAAGGGTGAGTCCAAGGGATTGTAATATTTTTCCTGCTTATGAAGGTTTCTGTCTACTAAAAGTTTTGCTGAGGGATGTTGTCTAATGGGACTGGACATTGACTCGCTTATCCAGATTCGACTTTATTATCATCGAATTATTTAAATACTTTTAAATATTAAATTTTCTCACAATGTTAGTTACTACACTCAGAAACGGATTGGCAGATTTTTATATAGTGATACAGTAGGTCTGAGAAGCAGCAACTATCTCTTTTTTAATTCCACGCGGACGGAGTCGCGGCCTACATCTAGTAGTTTAAGTCTATTTTTTTTGTATAAGATTACGGTTAGTTTACTAATGATATAAATTTGCAGGCTCTCTGCGGCAAGTCATGATCCGTACAATGAAGATATGCGAGTGGAACTGTTGCCGTATGATCTGCAGTTCCAAATGTTCAAAATATTATCTATCGAGACTGAAGAAGAAAAAGGTTAGTATTACAAAATGTCATCAATTTACATTCAACTCATCTTGATGGGAAAAGTTCCCGGTAAAAGGAGTGTTGGTCGCAAAAAAAAGTCCTGGTTGCGCAACATCCGAGAGTGGACAGGAGTTGCGAGTGCCGCCCAACTTTTTCGCCTCGCAACAGACAAGGGAAAATATGGAGACCTGATCGCCAACCTTCGTTAGTCGGAGAGGCACCTCAAGAAGAAAAAGTATTAAAAAATAGCACTAAAATTAATTAATAGTAATATAACACTAGTTCAAGTCTAGATAAATCCATCCATACAAACTTTCGATTTTTTTTTTATTTTAAGTTCACAAGGCAAAGACTTCAAACATTTGTCTAATGTTGTGGGTCTAGAGTAATTATAAAGTTAATTGTTTTTTTTTTATTTCAAATGTGTTCTTGTCTTTGTTTCCAGAGTACAAACAGAACAAAGACTGTCCACCGTTGACGGGCATAGAGACGTTCTCGTTTGGTATGGAAGTGAAGTGGCCGGTGTCTCTCATATTGAATCATAAGGCGATCGCCTGCTACCAGATGATCTTCAGACATCTATTCTATTGTAAACATGTTGAAAGATTACTTTGCAGGTCAGTTATACTTTTTCCTTCCTTTTTGATAGTCTTACTTTAGTATCTGACCTATAAGGTTGAAATTACGATTGACAAAATGTACTAAGGTTGAACCTAAAAATGAACTTTTTAGGTGGGTTGTAAATTTGATTCTTTAACTATACGGTTAATATGAGTGCGTAGTGTATGTTGTTATCCATTGTTTATATTTAATTTTTGGTATAGCACAAAGTATAGAGGTCATCAAATATCTTATGGGCTCGGAATGTCGTCGTTGAGCAGGTAATATATTTGAATGGAGTGATACATGTTGCAGAGTGTGGCTGTACAACAAGGTGGTGAAGCGGTTCTCTGAGGCGCGGCAGTACGCGGAGGCGTTCGCGCTGCGGCAGCGCATGCTGAGCTGTGTGCAGCACCTGCAGTACTACATGTGTGTTGAGGTCATCGAGCCCTCCTGGTGTCAACTTATACAGAGTCTAGACAAGGTACCAAAAAACTATTTTTTTTAACTAAATACTATTATAAAATTAGCAGTCAAAACATATGATATACCCGTATACAGCAACCTTCCAGTCCAAGTTTTGTCAAAATTGGTCCAGCCGTTCCTGAGATTTATCGGAATAAACGCAGTGTTGCAGACAAACATACATATGAGTGCTGACAGACGAGGATCAAAAGTGAGTGATGTTTGTATGTGTGTATTATAAGTGTGGAGATGTGTGTGTGCAGGTGAACAACGTGGACGAGGTGCTGGAGCGACACAACGACTTCCTGGAGTCGTGCCTGGGAGACTGCATGCTGACCAGCCCCCAGCTCCTCAAGGCCGTCACCACGCTCTGCCTCGTCTGCGTACAGTTCTGCACATTTATACAGGTTCATCAGTTACATCAAGCTAATAATAAAAACCACAATAGCCTAATGGCAAAGTCGAGAGTTCGAATCCCTCTATTTGACTATTGTCAAGCCTTTAGTTGGAATAGTATAAGAAGTATTAGTAAATTAACAAAAATCTACTAATATTTTAATTGAAATTAATTTTAATGAATAGAAATGTGCTTTATTAAATCTGCTTTTCGGAATGTTTTTTTTAAATTTACCTATGTTTAAGCTGTTATGCAAGAGATCGTAATATTATTTTCCTGGTGATATAAATATACTTAATAATATTATATAGACTATAAAAATGCTACAGATAATATATGTAGTAATTATTCCTTAGGTTCTAATAATTTTGCTCAATCTTGTATTAAAATGGTTTCAACATACGATATAAAAGCTTTAACTCTTAAGGCAAATTTGATGTGGTTTCATATGTTTGTCCAAATATATCAAATCTTTCATTATAATTTTGGATAGTTATTTCATTATATTGAATTTACGAAATAAAATATGACTTTAATATCTGAAATGTTATTTCTTTACTAATATAATAAATGCAAATGCTTAGATGTATAGATGTTTGTTTGAAGGCATCTTTGGAATGGCTTCATGGATCTAGCTGAATTTGGCGTACATGTAGATCATAGTCTGGAAGAACACATAGGTTACTTAAGTTTTTTTTTTAATCCCGCACGAACGGAGTTGCGGACGACAGCTTGTATTCAATAATTGTTGGTACAAACGCGTGATACACTTTTTTTTTAACATAAAATACACATCAAATTTGACTTGAATCTATGATATTCTAGTCGTTGTATTTAGATATTTTTATTTTAATAATATTTATTTATTAAATTAATTTATTTTGTATTGTTTTAACGCAACCAAAATACGTTAATTGGCAAAGGAAATGCACAAGTACTTCGTGGACGCAGAGCTTAACAGTATGCTTGGATCTACGTATGACCATACAGATTATAGCGAGGTATATATATTGTTTGATAGCATATTGAATATATCACCGCATTAGTTAACATAATGCACAATACGTAACAGGCTATTTGATTTAGGCACAAACTTTTACTACGACCTAGTTCAAATATTGTCTCGTTAAGCGACAAGTTTGTCATTCCAAAAAAATAACTTAAATTTAAACTAATATAAAATCGGTCAAATGAAAGTTTCATTTTGACTAGATAAATTGTAACATATAATACTACAAAAAGAAATAAAACATGACAGAATAACATCAAAAAACCGTCTATAATTAAAGATCTCGTGATGAAACCCCCGAGAGGCTTGGAATAACCACGTTAGGAGAACTAGGCAATAGTCAACCATGCCAATGGCCCAGTCCGGATTGATTGACTTACCTTATTTTGAATTTCCCCGTCGATATGTGCAGTTAGCAATACGATGTTAAAACATAATCTTTTAATATAAGAACGTCGGATAAATGTACATATGAAATTCGAAAATTCAATACCACATGGCATGGATCGAACCTGGATATCGTTTTCAGTCTTGATCGATTAAGCGATTAACAACTGTGCATACGGCGTTCTTTTTGAATCGTCTACATTGTTGCAACTTTTTGTATGTATCTTTTGTCTGCATCAGTGTAAAAGAGGTATAACAATATGTATTGTGTAGCTGTTTCACTGGTGAAAATTCGCTGACAATTTAATTGCAAATTTATTGGATTCAAGTAAAAATTATTTTTAAAGTCTTGTGCTTAAATCAAAAGTCCAGTTATCGAATTCGTCTACTTTGTAAATGTACCTAATAATAAACGTTAGAATTTTCATAAGTATTAAAAAAACTACATAACAATGTCATTAAGTAATGCTTCCATGTAGTATTTGTGTTAAAATATTGATGTGCTTCTTTTGTTATTATTGTTTCATGACTTCTACTTTAGACTTATACGGTGAGTATTTTGTTTTCTTAGAACACATATATTTTTCTAGTTTGTATACATTGTTCAAAATCATAATTTCAATTGTTAAAATATCAAACGACCAAATAACATAAACATCATGAAGACAGAGATGTTAAAACATTTAGATTAACCTATATTAAAATTCATTATAGCTCTACTAGTGCAAAAAACCGCATATTTTCATGTTCAAAAGGTTTTTGCAAAAGGTTAACATACGCCACATGTTTGGTCAATAAGTTTTGTATGTCAGGGCGGAGCTTGCGGGGGTGGGGGCGGAGCTAGTGGGACCGGGGGCGTGGCTAGCGGGGGTGGGGGCGGGTCGTCGGACTCGTTCTCTCGCTCGGTGTCGCGGTACGGGCTGCGGTTCACGGCTGCGCTGCTCTCCGTGCTGGCGATCATTGAGCGCATGGCCAGAGACAACAACACCAACAAACTGCTCAATATCTCTGCAAGGTACAACTAAAGTATACTATAAAATGCACTCAAAAATAGTCGTTTACTAAGATTTACTGTATGCCTAAGCGAATTACAAATAGCAGCTGTGTGATTTCGGCCTTGATTTGTAAGAGATTTGCTGCTGTGCCAAGTTCGCTGGTGGAAAATGGGCCTACAAACAGATTTCATCGAGCAAATACTCCGAATGTTTACATTTATATACTTAGTACTTTATATACTATATATACTAGTACATTAACCACGAGTTTCTAAGATCAAAATCTCTGTTTAAACATATTGTTATCTCTGTTTTGTCAAAGGGATGACAATATTTTTTATACAGAAATTTTGGTCTCAGAAATCAACGGTAAACGGAGCACGTTTTTGTTTAACTTCCAGATTGAATTTCAACACGTACTATGTAAAGCAACTAGAGAAGTTCTGTTCCGACGACAAGCTGCTGGATGGTGAGAGGAAGCAAGTGGGCTCCTAGCATAGAGCTGTGCGCAGGCGCACCAACCTCGTCACCAGTGTCTAGCTTGTCGCTGCACATTGGATACTATATCCCCTTCCAAATGAACTAATTGTAAACGTACAAACGATACTTTCCATGCACGGTTTATTAAATTTTGTGGAAACTGTGAAATAGATCGAGTTGTGAGTATAATTGTATAGAATTAAATATAGTGAGTGAAAAGTTTTCCTCGGAAATATTTTGGAATTTACGAGTTTTATAAGTAAGGTTTCATTTGGAACAAGGGATAGAACCGAGAAAAAATATGTTTTCAAAACTCGGTTAAAACAATCAGTTTTGAAAACATATTTTTATGGCATTTGCATGAAATTAATGAATTTTTTGTTATAAGTTTTTATATTCCTGACTTTTTAATTGCAATTGTAGTTTGAAATAATACTATCTCAAGGTCAAAAACGCAGTTGCATTTTCGTAAGTTAATACAATCAGTTTTGATACCTATTCTAATATACTTAAAGAATATGTCAAAATAATTAACTTTAATGTCCACGAAAAATCTAGAACAGTTATTTCTCGCTTCTAGTATGTACTTGTTCGCCAAATGTTCTAACAATTTGGTAACACACACTATTTTTGAAATTAACAAATGATATTAAATTTTAAGCTAGAATGGTTGCCAAGTATATTTATTAATACAACAATAATAACAAAAAATTTAGGATAAGAAAATACACAAAATTATTGTAATAATATTTTAAAAACATCAATTAAAATAAAAATTATGATATTAACAAGAGGTTGAAAATAAACAAGTAATTTCTTTATGAAAGGTCTGTTTATACAAGTCTTTTGACTGATATGGATGATTCGCTACAAGCTATTTTAAACTCAAACATAGGGTTTGTTTTTGTAGATCTACTAATCTCTAACTCATTTAGGTAATTTTTAATGGATTTAGGTATCTGTAAATTTGTGAATTAAAATGTAGTTAATTGAAAATTAGATTAACAAAGATATGCACAAAATTCGAGTTAGTACTATTGTAATCAAAAACATAGATTTATTGCGGTAACAATATAATCTTAACTTCACAAAAATGGATCGACTACTATCTAGACTGTATGGTAGATCAAGTTTTTCGATTGCAATATTGATCTTAAATACATAAATAAGAAGTTTTATGGTAAATTCGTAGATAAAAAAATTTATTGTCATTTATCAGTGGGTTTTGTAATGTTAATCCAAAAATGTCTACCTTATATTAACTTCCATTATGATAATATGAAGTATATCACAAATTAAAAAGACAAACTATTAAATTAAAAAGAAAAACAAATATTAAATTTTTAGATAAAGCTTATGTTACATTTTTGGTGTTGCCATCCGTCATCTAAAAATAGACAAAAAATAAATTTAAATTGACTAGGCCTAGATGTTAAAATACACTCTTCATAACAAGTACAAATTAATAATTTAAGAATTAACATGTCATTATTTTTGGTTGCAATATATTAAAAAAAAAATGCCATAAAATAATCCAATGAGTTTATTCCGTGCACGTATATTTTTGATATTAAATACAAAATATGTTGATAGAAATAATCTCGTAATTTTTAATATTTTAGTCGTCGACATAACAGAAAATAATTAGGCACTGTGATAAAAGGTATAATTCAGTCTCGAATATTAAGTGATAATTAATAAATAAATCTCTTTACTCAATATAACTTGCCATAGTAATATAGTTCGTACGATTTATTAAAGCCATGACACTTTTTACTACGGCACGTATAATGTTAACATGACAAAATTGTTTAGTTTTTAGTCTATGGTAAGAAAAACTTCCATCTTTATTCCATTATGTTGTTGAGAGAAATTGAAGCGAAAAAGACATTATGTTTGTCATCAATCAAACATTATTTGCCTTTTAATTTGTTCCTATAGCATAGTCTGAATATTAAAATAATTGTTTTAAACACTCCGACAGCAGACTTATTTGCAAATATTATAAAATTTTTACCATTTAGCTTTTTTTACCGAATTTCATGTTTAACATCAACGTAAGTTACCACTACAGTAACATCTGTACAAAGCAAAAACAGTGCTATATCTCTGTTTTTGCAACTTCCCAAAGGGTCAGTGAAAACCCACGGTTAATTATATCTTACAACAAAATCGAAATAAAGACAATCTACAAACTTAATGTTATTAGAGTTGCAAATAAATTTTGCTAAAAATTGCTTAGTAAAATGAACCACGCATGTAAATTTGTTTTTTTTTTTATATTAATTTTAATTTAAAAATATTAAAAACTGTCCACGTCTTAATATAATAATTTAATAAATTACTGATGACATTTTTTTACCAAATAAAAGTTATTCACATATTCCTCTTATTTTATTTACATATCCTTTCTTACTTAGCTTAAATAAGTAGTGAAAAATTTAAAGAAGTCTAAATAAATATTTTTTATTCTAAATTTTTGGATTTTCAAAGAATAAAAAAATAAAAACTCGACACATGTCACATAAACATTTGAATTGTAAACGTGACGCGCTTACGTATTTTGCTTTAATCGAATTACAAATGTGTAATAAAATATCATCCTGTCTTATAAAAAAATGTTTAACGAAATAACTTAAAAAAGCGGTTTCTCACAGTGCTTGTTGTGTCAACATAATCGTACAATTTTTTTTAAAGGCGGCGGTGACAAAGACTTACGAAAGCTTCGACAAAAGCTCGCGGCGACCGTTTGTCGTTCGCGAACAAAGGATAACGAATTCTGTTTTGATTGTTCGATATAGAGAAGTGGAGAGGCCGGCACTTGTCTATCATAGTGCCGAATCACGTAAGAATACAACTGACAATGTGCACGGCAACATCAATATTAAATAAAAGTTCTGTCTAAACTTTTAACAGTTCAAACTTTTATACGTATCTCATGTTACACAACATACCGAATTCTATGCACGTGTTATGTTTCTTTTGTTTGAATTTAAAAAATTATGCTAGTGTTAAGCAAAGTAAAAAACCTATTGAGAATAAAAACTTTTAAAATACGACCCTGAATTCGATGCTCAATAAAAATATGCGTCATTTGTAAATGATGCAATCTACCTATTCTAACGCTTTTCTGCATAATTGTTTTAATGCAATATATAAATTATATCATCATCAGCTATCATCACTGAACGTCCCCACCGAGGGGCTCGGAGCCTAACCTAAGTTAAGGGTGATTAGGCCATAGTCAACCACGCTGGCCAAGTACGGGTTGGTTGCCTTCACACATATCTTTGAATTTCTTCTCAGATATGTGCAGGTTGCATCACGATGTTTTCCTTCACCGTAAGAACGTCGGATAAATGTATATATGTAAATCGGAAATCGAAAAACACATTGGTACATGGCGGGATTCGAACCCAGGACCTGCAGATTGCAAGTCAAGTGCTCGACTCCTGAGCCACCGACGCTCTCTATAATTATATTTTTTTTTATTTCTTATTATACTGTGGTAGTTACTACGGTTTGTTGTATAATAAAGGTTTTTTTTGTATGAAATAGCAAATGGTCAGTTATCTGATTTGCAAAAATAGCGAAGTGACCGTTGTCTACAGTCATATGCATATACTTTGACTACCTCTAATCGACAGAGATACAGAAAGATGGTATTTCTAAGACGCATAGAAAGGGCCTATGTGTCCTCTACTCCGCCGAATCCTCTTGCCTTTCTTAGTAGTGCTAACCGTACAGGGTCACTTTGAACTTTTCGCGATTTAAAATAATAGATGAGATGATGTTCACATAAAAAAGGTAGAAGAAGACCGAAGAAGTTATGGATATGGACTCAAAACACATGATGACGTAGATAATTTAACTGTCAATATCATGACCAATTTTTTGTTTTTGCTTTGTTTTTAAATTGCTTTAATTAGTCGACGCAATACGCGTTCGGAATTGTTTCCGGGGTCAAAGGAAGTAACATTCCTTCGTCGCTATAATTGTTTAATTTATTTAAATTAATGATAAAGATGTATTCCACAACGAGTCTACAAGGTCTCGCACTGACAATATTCGTCGATAGTAATGTAGTAAATTTTTAAACAAAGTTTAAAGACTTGATAAAAAGCAACGTTCCTAAAAAGTTAGACATGAAAAATAAACTCCTTTAAATGTATTCACAAGAGAGAAAATTATATCTTGTAGTTATATACGTTTACAGTTCTTAGATCTTAATTATGTTATTATTAAAATTATTTTTAAACTCCTAAATATAGTCAACATTAATAGGATGAATAGTGAATAATGAGTACATTCTATAAACACCTGAATTTTATAGGGCCATTGAAAAACGACGCGCCTTTGAAATTTGTTCGTGTGATGTAGACGGGATCGGGCCATTCTTATGGCAGAGATTTATATGTTTTATACGGCCAGTCTATAAACGCCACGCTTTTATCGGCCGCGGGACGTTTACTGATTAATAAAGTGGCTGAGATGCGGAAGGAGATGCCGCTTCCTAGAAATATCAACTCTGTTCATACTATTTTTACGGTTTTTTAAAACAGACAATCTCGGTGACTTGCGGTTACAGTATTTTGTGGTTACAACTATAGTATTAGCATCATTCAATCAGAGGAATAAAGAACTAATTAGAAGACATAGAAGAAAGGTCTTATGAGACGTCCACGATAACTTATAACAAAAGCCAAACTGTTGCACCAACAACTTTCATACAACCTTACTAATATTATAAATGCAAATGTTTGGATGGATGGATAGATGTGAGTTGAAGGTATCTCCAGTACGGCTGAACGGATCGCGCTGAAATTTGCCATATGTGTAGAACATAGTTTAGAAGAACGCATAGATTACAAATTAGGTTTTTTTTTTAATTCCGCGCGGACAGTGTCGCCGGCTACAACTAGTGTTGTTTAAAAGTTAATGTGCTTGTCTAATCTCTTCCCGATATACAAGTGAATATCACCTATTTACTTTCCTCTTTGAGAGATTACGATACCAATTGAAAATTTAAATTTTTTGTAGCAACTTTGCATTGGTATTTTTATCAAATATGCAAAGCTTTATTTAGTGTGCGCGGGGGCAAGCTTATCGGTTTATAATCGTAGCCGTAGTGCGTTAAACTTGCGCGTAGCATCCGCATAGCCGCATACCGAGCCGTGCGTTTCGACATCCCATCTGAATTACAATGTATGGAATTCACAGACCTCAAGCGTTGCCAGTTGCCCCCGCTTCGGCACCGGCTCGTTACCGCCTCGCGTCCGCGTCCGCATCCGATCTGTGCGGAATAAGAAACAGATACACTACTGTTAAGTCCATTGTTCGGGAACGAACAACGGACAATGTGTTTTAGTCGAATATGGCATTGTGATTATGTCAACGGTTGTGTTTTGTTTCTTTAAACTTCCAATGTAGCGAGAAATGTAAATAGCATCAATGCTTTCTGAATAATAATCTTAGCAATATTATAAATACGAATAGCTGGATGGATGAATGTTAGAAAGTATCTTCTGAACGGCTGGATCTTGATGACATTTTATACAGTCGTAGAACATAATCTGGAAGAACACATACGCTTTTAAATTTTAGTTAAATATTTAATTTCTTGCGGACGGTGTCGCGTGCGACAGCTAATTAATAAATATAACTATAATATTTTGTATTTCAATGATTTTCAATGTCTTT